CAGGATATATTGAGTCTTTTGATCCAGTCTACTGAAGTCGGCAGCAAACAACAGGCAGAGGAAGGGAGGGGAGAGGGCAGAGGTGGGTCAGGCTGACTTCTAGCCGCTTCTCTCCTGCCTTTCGCCTACTCTGGGGTCTTCTGGGGGCAGAGCAAACTTGGCAGACACTTCAGGAGAGCAGGTGGTTGTTCCCAGTTGTGACCTAGGAAGGAGATTCTCCGGCCCTGAATTTTCCCCTCTGAACTCTCTTACTGTTCTCTGGCCCCCATTGCCAATTTTTGTTCAATAGACTTCTCACTCTGCCCCAGAACTGGGCCAGTCCTGCACTTGGGTGGCAAGGGAGGTGAGCAAGGCTGAAAGCGGGGAAGGCTGAGTCACTATAAGTGTGACTGAGACCTACCCCTTACTCTCTGAGCCGCAGTTCCCTCACTTGTAAAGTGGGCATCAGAATGCCTATCTCGTGAGACAGCCGGGAAAGGAAGTCAGAAAACTATGGGGTTGAGTGTAGAGTAGGAAGCACAGGATAAATGCAGGGTGTTTATCCAAACGGTAGGTAGCACAGCGCTGTCACTCCCGTGGGCTTCAGAGGAGCAGAAGACCCTGCTGTGGTAGCTGCTGCCCTCGGCTCCAGGGCTGGGAGCTTTCATTCGGCACCTAATAAGAGCTTGGGCTCATCCTAAATTCCCCGCCAGTGGTTCCACTATCCTCCTGGTACCCGAGACTTTGGCTCTTCCTCTCAGCCCATCTCCAACAAGAACCAGAACCTGACATGGCGAGGTCTGCACATCCAACCTTGTGCATCCCTCCCCTTCTCTGCCCAGTGCAGCTGCTGGGACCCTGGCTCCCGTGCCCCCGTCTGAACTTTGGTCCAGACATTCAGATTGATCTCTCCACTGCTTTGCTTTCTCTTACACCCTCCCCACAAGCCACTGCGGCCAGGGTGAGCTTCCTACACAACTCTGTTCACGTTTCTCCACTTAGTCCAAATCCATACGTGATCTTCATTCCCTACAGAAGGAAATCCGAATTCTGTCCTCTTTATAGCCACTCTCCACAATCACCCCACTCTCCTCAATGAATGGATGGACTTCCCACAAGTCCTTTTGACAATTTAGTGTTCCGGGCACGCTTGACTCCTCACTGCTCAAGTTCTTTTTTGGAATGAGATGGGTGGAAACAGATGTCTGCTATTTCCAATAAACACTACACATTCTGATCTCTGTGCTTTGGATTACTTGTCCTTCTGTGGAATGTGCCTCCCTCCCTCGCCCCGCCCTCTTCCCCCCTCCCCACCACTTGTCCTAGGAGACCTGGGTAAAATGCCACCTTTATCAGGAAACTCCCAGATCCAAGATGCCTCTCAGTGACCTGACGGTGTTCACACAGAGCTCCAGAGCCAGAGCAAGCTGACCTTGCTGGAAGGAGACATTCTGGATGAACAGTTCATGAAGAGAGCCTGCCAGGGCATCTCAGCTGTCATTCACGCCGCCTCTGTCATTGACGTCTTCAATGTCATTCCGAGAGAGACCATCATGAATGTCAACCTGAAAGGTACTATATCCTCGGGAGGAGGTGGCGTGGGGTGGGCAGGTGAGGCTGGGAGAACAGGACAAGGTAGAGAGGAGCAGGCCAATCACTGATCTGAGATCTGTGCTTTTGCTTAGCACTACCAACCGCAAGAGTGTTGGCTGTTGTCCTCAGGGTTTTTTTTGTTGTTGCTGTTGTTTTAATGTTTGGAAGGAGGGAGGGAGGGAGGGAGAGATAGAGAAACATCAATGATCAGAGAGAATCAATGATTGGCTGCCTCCTGTATGCCCCCTAGTGGGGATCCAGCACACCATCTGGGCATGTGCCATGACCAGGAATCAAACCAGGACTTCTTGGTTCATGGGTCAATGCTCAACCAGTAAGCCACACAAGCCAGGTGTCCTCAGGTGTTTAGATGAGAAAACTAGGGCTGAGAAAGGCTAAGTAGCTTCCAAGGCCCCATGAGCCAGAGAGGGAGAGCTAGGATTTAAACCCACAGCTGTGTGACTCCAAAGGCCACAGAAGCTCTTTCTAGTGCTGCTCCCATCGAGAGGGAACTAAACTCCAACCTCCAACACTTGATACCCAACCACCTCCCCTGGGCTGGAACCGGGTCTCCCAGCTGCTTCCTTAGTCATCATTGTAGCCCTCCCGTGTGGCTCTAAGGCGGTGGTCACACAGTGGGGCCAAGAACTAAGGGCTCTGGGATGAGGTGGCCCTAGGTCAGTTAGAAGCGATGGGCCTCAGCTCTGGGCCGGATTCGTTGGGCGGGACTTCCTGCGCAGGATGAGGCTGGTGCAGGGGTCTGGAACTACAGAATCATGGAGCACTTGACGTCCTGTAATATTTTCTTAACAATAATGGTATCCCATTATCCATAACACCACTTCTTCACCCACTACCAGGTCTCCTCGTAGAACTAGTTCTAACCAGGTGTCAAGATACACTTTCGATCCTCAGACCTTAAAGGCTTGGGTGCTCTTTCAGAAGTGTGGCTTCCCAATCTACTTTAGATGCATTTGCTCGAGGATTTGGCTTAAACCCCTCATTAGCTTGCCGTTATCATCCATCTGGTCCCTGGCGCCCAGCCTCTCTAGGACGACAGCACCCCATCTCCCTAGCCCATCTGTCTTCTGTGCCCTGCACTCCCAAGTTAGTCTACTCAGACTCCTCTTCTAAAGCAACGTATGGCTTTGGGTTTCTAGCCAAAAACAGCACAATAACAAAAAAAGACCCCTTTATGTTTCCACTAAGCCACACCCCTGATCACCCCCACATTGCAAGGAGGGGGTGAGAGTAACCAGTTTCTCGTGGTCAGCCCTCTCTCACAGTCCCCACCCTTCACAGCTCCCAACAACAGGAGATTTGAAATCCCTGAGAAGTGTTAAGTTGACTAAAAGCAAGGTCACTCCCAGGTTTAGAAAATACTTCATGATGATTGTCATTTCCCCCTCAGCAGGTAAATTAGCTCCAAATATTCTCTGCCTCTAGATTTAAATTATTTTTAATTGAAGATGTCTCTCCCCAAAATCAAACTTCACAATGTCCTTAAAAGGGATTTTTAAATGCAAAATATAAAAATGATGCTTTGGCCCAGAGATTCCTTGTAGGGAGGGCGCTCTGGATTACTTCCCAGAGCTAAGGTTCTACCCAGCTTAAGGGATTCTGCCAGATCCTCCAGTTGTAGGTATCACCACCAGAGGGCGCCCCCTCCTGATTCTCCCCCAGGCTCAACGAGCAAGGCCAGTGCAGAATTCCGCAATGCTTAGGAGGAGGAGGGTTATCACACCCACTTTTCATACCTGGGAAGTCACAGACAGAACTAGGATTGGCCTTACAGGGGACACACAATCGGGAGCAGAACCTGGATCTCCAGCTTCTCCCCAGAAAACACTAATTTGCTCAGTGGCTCTCAAAGAAATGTCCTTGTGACTACGTTTTTATTGGTCCTTAAAAAGAGAATACAAACAATTCAATATATATTTAAGAGTGTTTTTACCTATAAACCTGTGTGTGTGTGTGTGGTATGTGTATGTGTGTGTGTGTTTGAGATGAGAGTCCTTTAACTGTTCTCTTTTGCCGAGGGACTAGGACTGTCCATATTCTGAGAGTATAGCCTCCTAATTTCTTTTATTTAAAATAGCCTTCCATTAATGAGGTGGTAGGGATGAAAAATGATCATTTGTTAATGTCCATCATCAGGAAAATATGAAGTGGCAATCCTATGTCCTTTTCCAGAATCAGAAGTACACACACAGGCCCATGAAATCCAAAAGCCTAGACATCTTTGCTTTTTATAGTTGCACTTTTCTGTGGCATTGGCATGTCAGCTCTCAGCCAGAGACATGGGAGCATTCCATTCCCTCCTGGTCTGCAATAACCCCTCCCCCCTGGGGGTGGGGGTGGACAGGGTCGGTGGGCGTGGGTTCTTTGGGCTTTTGCCTGCCACTGACAGCGTGCTCCTGTGGGCAGGTACCCAGATCCTGCTGGAGGCCTGTGCCCAGGCCAGTGTGCCCATCTTCATTTACACCAGCACCATAGAGGTGGCCGGGCCCAACTCCTACCGGGAGGTCATCCAGAACGCCTCTGAAGACCAGCCTCTGGAAACCACGTGGTCGGCTGCATATCCGTACAGCAAGAAGCTTGCCGAGAAGGCTGTGCTGGCCGCGAATGGGTGGGCTCTTAAAAATGGTGGCACCTTGTACACGTGTGCCTTAAGACCCATGTATATCTATGGGGAAGGAAGCCCTTTCCTTTATGGCTTTATTGATCACGCCCTGAAGAACAATGGCATCCTGCCACACAACAGCAAGTTCTCCATCGTCAACCCAGTGTATGTTGGCAACGTGGCCTGGGCCCACATTCTGGCTCTGAGGGCCCTGCGGGACCCTGAGAAAGCCGCAAACATCCAAGGACAGTTCTACTACATCGCAGATGACACGCCGCACCAGAGCTACGACCACCTCAACTACACTCTGAGCAAAGAATGGGGCTTCTGTCTGGATTCCCGGATGAGCCTGCCTGTATTGCCGAAGTACTGGCTGGGCTTCCTGCTGGAAATAGTGAGCTTCCTGCTCAGTCCCATCTGCAGGTATCAACCCCCCTTCAACCGCCACACGGTGACCTTGTTGAATAGCGTCTTCACCTTCTCCTACAAGAAAGCTCAGCAAGATCTGGGGTACCAGCCGCTCTTCGGCTGGGAAAAAGCCAAGCAGAAAACCATGGAGTGGATTGGCTCCCTGGTGGAGCGGCACAAGGAAGCCGCGAGAACCAAGACTCGCTGAGGCGGGTGACAAGGGGTGCATGTGGGTATTGTGAGTGGGTGGCTGTCAGTCTCCCCTTCTGGTGCATCCCTGTTACAAGATGCCATCTCATTGCCTTCTTCCTCCCACCAGTCACTGGCCCAGCGAAGCTTTCCGCCCTACCCACCCTCCAGAGGACAAAGTGATTTCCTGCAACTGCTGGTCCCCACGTCCCAGTTGCTGATCCTGAAACTATTCGGGCCTCTTTTCATTTAGGTTTCTGCCTATTCATTTCATTTCCTTTGCCAATTACAAAATTTTTAAATTCCTATCCCTTTACACAACTCGGTGGAAAGAATAATAAATGTTTTCATGCCTAACCTGAAGGGAGTTGTGGTTTATGTGAATACATACCTTCCTCCTTTTGCCTCTATTTCCAGATGTCACCATCTCCTGTAAGAAAAACTGCATGGAACTGGGTATGTGCCCTGCCTGGGAATCAAACCCCCAACTTGTTGGTGTACTAGAGGACACTCCAACCAGCTGAGCCACCCGGCCAGGGCAAAGCAGTTAACATTTTTAATTCATCATGGTTTTACCTCCCTAAGGGGTCTTTTAGTAAATCAGCAACTTACAGTCTACTGGCAAGATCCAACCACAGAAACACTGACCGCTTTTCCATCAGTCCAGGCCCACTCCCAGCCACTCAATCAATAAGCTGTCAAATGTCTAGCCTTCACTGGAGGTGGCAGAATGGAGCCTCTGAGCAAAGCTTGGATATATAGATTGCCAGCAGGTTACTTTTCCCTGATCTTGCTGGGAAATTTAAGACAAGGGTCCTTTATAATTAAAGTCTTACTATTGCCGGCTTACAGCCTCAATAAAAGACACTGACAGGTGTAAAGCTATCACACGCAAATACCAAAAAAATGAAACAGACACAACATGATTGACAATTTAGTGTTGACAGGTATTATTTGAGTTGGTCACTGGGACAGGGGACAAAGAACTATGCTTTCACTTCACGCATTCAGCACTAACGACAGAATAGATGGACTTTTACAATGTTTACAAGAAGGGAAGGGGATACCTCCTAGACTTAAGGTTCAGTGGCAAAGATGAGAAAAATAATCGAAGAAAACAGGTCAAATAATCGAAGCCTAATAGGTCACAACACAAGCCTTACTACCCAAGGCCAAGTCCCTGTGGAAAGCCTGTTCACACCCATTGTGCTTGCTGCCTCATCTTAACCCATTCAGAAATAATAAAGTTGACGTTTTATTTTTTTTCTCTCTACTTTTTTACAAGACAAGCTTTGGATATTAAGAATTAATGGCCTCTAGTTAATTTAAAAATTTCTAACACTTTATGCATTAATGAAAATTGCTCCATCTATGTTGCACATGAATGGGACAGTATGGCAGGGTGTGCCTTAAAAGAATTCTTAAGGCTTTAGCAAAAAAGTGTAGTGTGCCATTATAGGTACAATAATTATTAGTTGTTTTTCTTAAATAAACTCTGAACTGCCCTATCATTCCTATACTATACATTGTACTTACTATACATTGTATTAGTTTCATGGCCCATAGCACAAAATTTAGAGTCTAAAAATTACTACATATATACAGCCCTGGCTAGTGTTGCTATATGGTTAGAGTGTCAGCCCCACACTGAAGGGTCTCAGGTTCAATTCCTGGTCAAGGGCATGTACCTGAGTTGCAGATTCGATCCCTGCCCGTGCAAGAGGCAGTCAATCGATGTGTCTCTCTCCCTCTCCCTTCCTCTCTAAAATTAAGGACATTTTTTACCCATAGCACAAAATTTAGAGTCTAAAAATTACTACATATATACAGCCCTGGCTAGTGTTGCTATATGGTTAGAGTGTCAGCCCCACACTGAAGGGTCTCAGGTTCAATTCCTGGTCAAGGGCATGTACCTGAGTTGCAGATTCGATCCCTGCCCGTGCAAGAGGCAGTCAATCGATGTGTCTCTCTCCCTCTCCCTTCCTCTCTAAAATTAAGGACATTTTTTATAAATATTTGGAGGGTACAATATTTAAGTATGCTAGTCAAATGCACTATGCATTTAAAGCCCAATTTGTATGAAGAAATTAAACAGCCATTTTACCCTTAATTTTCCAAATAAAGTGCTGTTTTCTTATCAAGTTCTTAAACTCTAGCACAAATTACAAGTTCAAATCTGTAAGATCATAAAAGACCTATACCCCTAAATTGGGATATTCTCATTGAAATCCGACCCCTGGAAATTTGGACTATCATACTTCAGACTTAGAGTCTTTCTCTTTTTTCACTTCTATCTAGCACTTATTACAGCTTCCTATCAGGCCTGACTCTCAAATACTGGCATTAACCTAAAAGGCAGAACTAAATCTTTCTGGCAGTCTTTCTGTCTGTGATCAGTAGTTCATGAACGATAAAAAAGGGTGATGTCAAAGAAGTTCAAAATAAAATAAAACCAACTGAGCGCACACACTCAAAGCTGCGCGGCCAGGCAGCAGCCACAAAAACCCGTGGGGGCGG